GCTATTATTTTCATGGCTTCAATAGCATTACGTTTCCACCCTGCTGCCTCTGATTGTGTGGCTTTCTATGGCAATGGTGACCTCCTACTTCTGTATAGAACGACATGTTCTCACAGACTGCTTAAGCATGTACCTGTCGAATTCGCCTTGACACCCTTTTGAAATGATGTTCAAATTACTAGAGAGAGATTTATTTCTTCGTACCTGGAAGGTGGTATGCTTCAAGCGACAGTTAAAAACTACCTGTACCGCCGAGACAGGTGCCATCATTGTAATTCTACAGTGATTTGAGGGTGTATATTTAAATGATTAAGTCACTCTGGAAAAAGCCCTAAGTATGGAGGAAAACGAAATTCACAATTTTCATCACAAACGATTCAGTACATAAAAAGCATGGGAGCGGTGATTCAGACTCGAAATTGGGTATTCCAGCAAGCGGTATGTCCAGGTTGCGTGAGCAGATAGTCGGATTTGAAAACTGACGGATCTCCATGAAGTATTTCTTTATAAGCAGTACACAAAACCACGTGGACATAAATATTTACAGATGCACATCAAACGGGTGCAAGTTAACAAGATTATAGTCGGATTTGAAGACTGACGGATCTCCATGAAATATTTCTTTATAAGCAGTACACAAACCACGTGGACATAAATATTTACAGATGCACATCATACGGGTGCAAGTTAAAAAGATTAATGTACATTAACGACACGTTGAGGCTCTAAGTACTGCAGCTATTGTATTACATGGGATTACAACAGGACCAAGTGACAAAGAAACTATTTATATATATTAAAGCTGACACTAACCAAAATAACAACAAACACACAAACGTTTGGAATAACTGAGTACATAAGGGTGTAATTTTCACTCTATTAGCGTCAAACTGCGATATTACAGATTTTTGCATCATGTTGTCTGTATGAAAAGTCACCATGGCCAGCGATGACAGAGAAAGCATACATGTACCTAATACATCAATCGACAACATTGTCGAATAGTGTGTGTGTGTGAGAGTGAGTGAGTGAGTGAGTGAGTGAGTGAGTGCGTGAGTGAGTGAGTGAGTGAGTGAGTGAGTGAGTGAGTGAGTGAGTGAGTGAGTGAGTGTGAGTGAGTGTGAGTGAGTGAGTGAGTGAGTGAGTGAGTGAGTGAGTGAGTGTGTGTGTGTGTGTGTGTGTGTGTGTGTGTGTGTGTGTGTGTGTGTGGATATTATATAACACCTTTCAGTCCGGGTGTTTTGCTGCAAGAAAACCCAGTATCATATACTGGTAGGTCCCTGTGACAGATAAAACCCCTCACCATGCTTGTTGTTGTGTGCAGTTGCCATGACATCAGTAATTGGGGCGTCCAGATGTTGAAAACACCATATTACTTTCCTTGAACTGCCAACATAGCTGTAAATATAACACTGTACCTTCGCACATAATACTCAGATATGTGTCTCTGCTGAGCCTCGTTGTTAAAATCGCCTAGGGTTCATCAATGTCCATGGGTTCATCTTGCTCTTCTTTAGGGACCTCCTCCTTGTCAGTAGATACCTCGTGCACACTTAAAGGAGTTAGGTGTGCCTTCTTGTCCGATGAATAAGATCCTGACATTTGATCCGTACTTAAAGGTAGTTCCGACATCTGGAGTAAAATGTCCTCCAATTCCCTAACTGGCGGAGACATCGACATGATGCAGTGGATGATATCCTCAATTGGCTCCAGCTCTTCCTTGAAACCATATGTTTCAGAGAGATACTTCGCATCTCTCGCAAATGTTAGACCTTGTGATGCAAACTCACCAGGTTTCGATGTTGGACAGATGCGTTCTTTATGATAATAAAGCACAGCGTTGCCAAGACAGTAGAACATGTATCTTCTGTTATTGTAGTCCTTCCTGTCTGGTCCAGCTTTTTTAAAGCAGGCTTCTGCCTCTTTGATGTCGCTCTCTTGAACATCATAATTTGTACGCCGACCAAACACACCAATGCCTAGACAGCAAAAAGCCAATTTCAGATAAAATATCCGGCAGAATTCATCCCGCATATCGGCTGATGTCTCTGGGAAGTGGACTTCTATTGCTTCAAGTATGCTCTCCTTAAGTTTCAATTTATTGTCTTCGGTTGGTCTGGCTTCGTACAGCTGCATGAGGAGATTAACGTGAATGTACATCACCATACCTGTATCCTTGCAAGGTTGAATCAGTTGCATTTTCTTCCTGGAATCTTCTACGAGTCTGATCCCTTCTTCGACATCTGACAGATTCCCTTTCATTGCAATAGCTGATCCTTTGCGAGCAAGAAATACCATTGAACCTGCTTCTGAGTGACCCATGGTTGCCACCAATCTTTCCATGTCAGCTATGATATCCATTTGATCTTGCCCTTTGTCATAAAAGAGCCTTCGCTTTGCCAGTTCTGATTCAAGCATTTGGAAAAGGATGTCAGAGTCATTTGGAAATTTATGCTTCATCTTTTGTACAATGCTAATGAATTTAGGCAGTTCCTGTTTTCCACTGTTGGTAATGACTCTCAGTTTGTAGCTGATGGTAGCCAAAAGTTTCTTCTTCTTGTCCATTATATTAACTTTGTGAGGTAGTAACAGATTTGGTCCTTGTATTCTGCTATTCTAAGCTGATTGCTTCAGAGTATCAATTTTGTCTCTCAGTAATGTTGCTAGGTAAACGTGACTACGTTTATATTCGAGTGCCTCTAGGAACAATGGTATGATCCTCTTCTGTCTAACGGCCTTGAGAAGTGCTCTGTTTTTTTCTGGGGCGATTTCAAGAGCGCGAATTTGCTTGCACTTCTGTCCTGTCAACCCATTTCGACGTTTGAGAAAGTTCAAAATATTATCTTCAGGGTCAAGTCTATCAACTAATTCAACACGTAGTTCACGTAGTGCTCTCTCTTCTAGACTTTCCCTGGTTTCTTTGTCAGATGATCCTCTTCCAAATTTTTTTTGCGCCATTTTCAAAGTCCTAGTTGTTTATTAATCTATAGCTGACCCAGGGTGTTATCGACTTCAGTAATGACATAACACTATACAAAGGCTCTTTGCGAAGAGTCATTCACAATTGTACATTTTGTATAACTGCTGGACGGACGATCATGAAATAGCACTTGCTTCCTTTATCGCCAAGTATGTAAGTTAACACATGCACCATGCCATTGTATTGATCTCATGGCATTGTTTACTCAGAGCCAGACAACTGTGAGGAATAGCGAGATAGCAATGCTTGGTCTTGTTAACTCACCTGTGTCAAGGTACCCCAATGGCGTCAACTGATTCTCATTGAGTAGTGCACTTCCCCAATCAAATCAGAAAGCTCAACATCTTATCTTCAGAGTCAAGTCAACTAATTCAAGTCCTTGATAGTTCCTTGATGTAAGGTTCTTTACATCAACTGCTGGCTTACGTTTTCCTTTCTCAAATACTTCGTATCCAGTGATACTATTGTACTGCAATGTATGATCCCGTATGTAAGACGAACATAGATTTACGATCGCTGGTTTTTGACAGCCGGTGGTCATTACTGTTTGTTGCTTCCCTCGCCAGGTACAACTGGAAAATAATAGCAAGCATTTGTCCTTTGAGGCGACATGACAATCAATATACCTAAAATTAGATCCACCTGCAACTTACCAATTGTATTGCAGATAGCCACGTTGGGTAAAATCGATCTGGCATGTTTCGGTGCGCAATCACACCGTTAGATAGTATTCAGTTGATCTAAAATAGGATCCACGTGTTCAAAGACATTTATTCAACAACATGAAACATACATTATGCACGAATTAATTTGTTTGTTGTCTACGTTCTTAAGCTGACACATATTAAAGTAAGCATTAAATGAATTGAAGCTCAAAGTTATAACTGTAATTGGTGCGGTGAAAGCCTGTTAATCTTTTTCCTATATATCTCCTTGGGGATTTCAGGTAAGAATAAGTCATCAGCAACCTGTGCTGGCCGTAAAAGGACATTAAATGGATCGGGTGGTCAGGCTCGTAGCCTGACGACATAGGGATATTAAAAATCAAACACTGGTTTATCTGATCCAGACTCGATTATATACAGCCTCTAGGGTGGAATATTGCGGAGATTGACATTAAACAACAAATAAACATGCCAGCACACTCATAATCAGAATGAAAAATACTCATAATCAGAGTAAATATTACGCAAGTATACAGCCTCACACGTATTCAGGCCAACAAACCTGGTCTTATCCTTTTGGATAAATTACAATAAAATCCTATATATAACTGATTTTTCTGTCCCTTTTGACACTAATATCATTACCAAGATTCTGGAGAAACATGGCAAATTTTCAGACCTCGATTACGAAACGTCACGCTTGCATTCCAGGTACAGACCCCTGAATATCTGGGGTAGAATAGGTCTTCAACAACCCATGCTTGCCGTAAAAGGCGACAAAACTTGTCGTTAGCAGCGTCTAACGGGATCGGGTGATTGGTGGACTTGGTTGATGCATGTCATCGATCCCAGTTGCGTGGATCGATGTTCATGATGATAAATCACTGGATTGTCTGGTCCAGACTCAATTATTTACAGACCGCCGTCATATAGCTGGAATACATCTGAGTGTGGCGTTAAACAACAAACAAACAAACATCCCAGGTACCAAGTAGTCTGACCATCCATTGTTCTCGCTGATTTAGGTTTAGGACCATCCAATCTGTTGAATGACATTGTGAGAGGACCCGGGTTAGCTGCAGGTAACACAGCCCTTCTGACAATCTGGGTAATGCGGAAGGCTGCAGTATCGGGGAGTCTTCACAATCTCTGAAAGGTTCTTGGTGGGTTCAACAAAGCAGCACTTCCCGGGAGAAGTCCCATTCGCTTTCTGGGCTGCGTGTAGAGGGGGGCAAGGTCCCTGAGCTGCTGATGAGTCTGACCAGCCTGACTGAGCCAGGATCACCCAAATCCTCTTTGCTGCATCTATTTAGTATAATCTGTGTCATAATAATAATAATAATAATACTAATACTAAGAATTTAATTTAATTTGAAAACTCTACATTGGTGCCACTAAAAACCATTACCCCAAAGATGATATAGGCAATGCACACATTTGACATAATTTTATTCATCACAAATATGAAAACCTTGGTAGACCTTGACAATAGGATATCAAACAAAAACTAAGTCAGCTTTCTTCAGTGTCAGTAAATGTAAGCATTTTATCCTCATGCTTACTGTGGGTAATAACAGAAGAAATCACGCATTCAATAAGGAAACTAATCTGTATCATATGAAGCCGTTAATATTGATTAGTATCATGAGGAACAAGGTTCTGTTGATAAGACTGACTCACTTTGACAAGTTACAAATCATGGTCATGGGGTACGTTGACTGAAATGTATCAACATCTTCGAGTTCAAACAACCACGTCACAACATTGTTGTGTTAATGTATTATACATAAAGGAAATGATGTCTATTGCTTCGTCTGAAAAGGAATAAGAGACAATGACACAGACAGCTAAACAAACCAGTATACCAAAACAAAGTAATTGTTTATGATATTTCCTATTGACTTCTCTCCCAATAACATTCAGTTCAGGACCCCACTGGTTTGAAGTTTTCTGCAGCACACTCTCCAAAACGAGTCCATTCAACTCATTCTCGATTTCATGTTGTCTTGTTTTACGTTCCTGTAGCTCGATGCTTTCAACCTCTTCTTTGAGATGACCAGTCAGTTCTAGAATTGGTCCCAACTCCTTCATATATCCACAACATATGGCCTTTTGTTCTGCCATATTAGCAAAATCCAAAGCGTCTCTCTGATTGTCTCGTTTCCGACAGAGAACTGACTTCGCCATGAAGTAGAACATCTTTCTCCTGTTGTCGAAAGTGTGTTGCTGTGAGTCAATGTATCTCAGACATGCCTCGGCAGATCTCAAATCACCCTCAGAAGTAACACCGCCTTCTATACAGTTTCCAAACAACCCAATACCAAGATAACAGAATACAAATTTCAAGTACAACATCCTGGAATAGTCCTCCCGAAGTAAAGGTAAACCTTCGGCAAAGTGGACATTGATAGCTTCGTCGATTTTATTGATGATGTCCCGTTTGATATTCAGTAGAGGATTTTTCTCGTAGATTTGTAGAAGGATGTTAATCTGTATATACACAACCATCCCTGTGTCCTTGCATGGTTCAATCCTCTCAGCGAGAGCTCGAGCATCTTCAAGCATATCCATACCCACTTCTAGTGACTCTTTCATAGTCCTAGCAGATCCTTTTCTGGCGAGGAACATCATTGTTGCAGCTAAAGGCTGAGATGATGTTTTCAGGAGCTTCTCCATCTCATCAAATATATCCCCTCTATGCAAATCAGTATCATACACCAGCCTTCGGCTCTCTACTTCAGCGTCTAACAGAGTCAACATGACATCTGAATCATTGCCGTACATAGCCTTGTATTTTGTAACACAATCAGCAAATTCATTTTTCTTTCCGTCATGAGACATCAATTTCAAATGATAATGCAGCTTCGTAAGAGTCTTCTTCTTTCCATCCATAATAGCAACCTTCCTTGGTTGCTGAACAATGGTTTCAGTGGGTTCTACAGCTCTGTATTTTGAAACTGTCTCATCATCAAAGCCATCCTCATTATTAGAACATATGATTTTAGCCTGTTCTTTTCCCGAATGAATAGCTTGTTCTCTGTAAGTACAACTTCTGACACAGACCTTTCGGATAGTCCCTGCACATACAAGAACGGTGGTAGCATCTGGATCGAAAAGACATGTTCCATTGCTGATAGTGTCTATTTGTGATCGAGCAACAGATTCACCACTTAAGAAAGGTTCGCCACTTACATGGTCTGTTGATGGAGCATGACTGTAACCTCTTTGGCCAGGATCCTCTTGCCCCTGAAGAGGTGAGGTGAAATTGGGTTTAACGTCGCGCCCAAGATTATTGCACTTATATAGCGACGTGCATGCACGTGTATGTGTGTGTGTGGCTGCTTGTACTAGTCCGGACTGATGCCGATTTATAGTGCTAGCTCACTGAGATACCATGCCGCAGTTCAACATGAATACCCCACTCAGACACAGTATACTGACTCCGAGCCGACCAGTCCTTGTTTTAGCCCCTTAATGCCGAGCGCCAGACAGGGTAACAACAAGTACAATCTTTTAACGTCTTTTTGTATGACGCGGCCCGGGATCGAACCCTGGACCTTCCGCTCTCCGGGCGGACGCTCTACCACAAGACCACGGAGGCGGTCTTGCCCCTGAAGATCTTTGATTGACTGTCTCAGTCTTCTAGCAAGATAGAGGTGGCTGTTCCCATATTCAAGTCCTTTGATGAATAATGGTATAATAGCTTTCCGGATGACGTTGTCAATGAGCAACGTAGCTTGCTTCTGTCTGGTTTCTTTAGAACTAATTTCTTCATATGTCAGATCAGAAATACCTCCTTCTTGTAATAAGAAATCCAGAACATAATCAGAAACGTTGAGCCTCCTCACAAAGTCAACCCGATGATATTGCAAAGCACGTTCTTCTATTGACTCCATAAGTATTGACATATTAGTAATACATTTATACAAATGCAAAACCCATCTTCAAATGAAAGTCCCATAGGTTCATGATGTTCCCCTCATACTCACTTTTATCTGCTTCTTTGATAATCTAGTCAGTCTGTTATTGAGAATAGAAACACAATTGTGCTAGCCATACCACAAGGGTGTTGTAATGCCTTCATTTTACCTGTCTTGTGGACAATGGTATCAAACATACACGTTTGACTTACACAAAGCATTGGGCTATTTTCTCTTTCAGAACCATTCGCCGAGGAAAGTGTTATGTCATCGTATCGGGACATGCAAGTCACAAGTGACATTGTAGAAGACATTATAATACGACCATATTTTAATTAATGTCAAGGTGACCGATCAGATACGAGTAAACAGACGGTAAACATTCCTGAAAGGTATTTCTTTCATTCAATTTGTTCCTTACCATTCCAAATACTTCAGCAAAATATGCATGTTTTCTGTAATCCTTAAATAGAGTTGTCATGGACCACAGTGCTTGATATCCATTACTTCTTTCTCGGTTAAAATTGAGATGCAACTTTCATTTGCTAGTAGTCCAAAACTGACTCAATGAGCCTTCAGGTTTGACAACGGAGGTAAAAATTTAAAACGTCATGCAGTTTACTACAAGCACAGAGTGATTTAACCCCTTGCAATGTCTCCATTCAGTTATTATCAAGGTACGTTCTAGTCAGTCCACACGCCTTGTACCAATTCATGATAGCTCTTGAATCAAGTGTATCACTTCCTAGAAATTCTGTTTCAATAGTCACATCTCTTCTCATTCTTGATTACAGCAACACACATGATCCCTCATACGCCATGGATATGTGGCCCTGAAAGCATTACATTAAACATAGTTATGATCCTACTTCACTATTAACAATCGTGTTATATATACTCGGTACATATTCTCTTTCCTTCCTCCTACAAGTTACGGGGCAATATAATTATTAAAGGAGTATGAGTAACTTTATAATAGTACGTCAATGTTGAACACAGCTGGCGACAAAAGGGCACCTTGACCTAGCGCAATAAATAAATCAGTACAAAAGACTTAAAGTTAATTCAAACAAGATGTCTACACCCTTATAGCGAACGAGCTCTTCACACCCCGGGGAAGGAACTGCCGAATTGTACAGGTTTGGAACCGAGGATACCAGATGGTTGGTTGTGTTAAAGTTAAAGATCATTTAAGAGACAAAAACAAAAGGCGATAAACAAATGTTGTATACCTACTGCGGGATACATGCAACACAATCCACTCTTAACGCCGCAATCTGCAATTTTTTAGCTATATGACAGCGGTCTGTAAATAATCAAGTCTGCAACAGACAATCCAGTGATTGTGATTGACATCATGACCTTAAAACAATGCGACTGACATGCATCAACAAAGTCACCGATCCGTTAGTCGCCTGTTAGACAAGCACAGGTTATTGAAGACCGGATCTTCAGCGGGCCATGTTAGTAGAAACATTGTATTCATATATTACGTGTTACTATACAGACATACTTACAAATTATTCTGTAATTTTCCTATTTGGAAAATTACCTCTCGTACACATGGTCATTTTACGACAGAACGTCGTCAGCCCGACACCCGAACTTCATCACGAATGACATCGTGAGCCGGCCGCTTACGCATCAGTCCTCGACAGTTTTCAATAACACAGTGACGTAAGTTCGTACCACGCGGTTGTGTTGTGTGTGTATTGGAGCATGTATAACCTAGGATATTTTTATCACTGACAGTGGCGTTGGGGATTTCACACGTATGAATAGGTTAGGGATATGACTTGGCGGTAGAATGAACAATGGAGTCTCCACATACCGTATTTCCTCTGTTAGACGCTTGGAGGTCTGTTAATATCGCGCAAGCTGTTCATCCGGAGTCTATTGGGGGCCCGGCATATATTCTGTTTAAAGCTGGCACAATGCAACTCGACACCTTACCTAATCCCAAATTCTACAGTCATACAAAGGGTATATTTACAGCAAACGGTCATTATTAATCACCAACATATGACAGTACTAAATAGCAAACTGTGGGCCCGGCGTCTATTTGAGGTCCGGTGTGACATTGAAAATGGACCCGCGTTGAAAAGTGACCCGGGAGTCAGTATTCAACGTTGAAAACATACCCGGTCTCAATTTTCAACAGACCAGGGTCAATTTTCAACAGTTGAAAAGTGACCCTGTCAGCTTACCATGTCGTTAAAAAGTGACCCGGGCCTCGCGTTGAAAAGTGACTCCGTTGAATTTTGACTTCTAGTGTAAATAAAAAGATCTAATGTTATAATCGATGAAATCTTTTTGTGTGTCTTTATCCGGGTGTTTCTGAGTACGTATCTGTCAGCTGGCATCAGTTGTTTTACGTACATGTATGTCTTTTTGAGTGCGGTAGAGAGAAGGGTGGAGGCGTTTCATGTTTTATTAAAACGGGAAAAATCCAGATTCAAGATTAACTGGCCAAAAATATAGATCTATACAACCCAAAATCCAGCTACCTTTCAATCTTCATTTTTGTTAAGATTTAATTAATAAACAAAGTACTTTTAAGAGCGGATATCAAAACGTTTTGAGCCTTGCTAACTTACAGTTGAAATTCTGGCTAAAGTTACAAATATTTTTCAACTTAGTACGGTTCCAGTTTCACACACTTGTTTCATCTGGTTTTCCAATCATTAATGCCCGATATAAAGAGGTCCAGCCGTCAATTGTTGTCGTCCTCAAATCTTCAACCCCGCAGGTGCTTTTTCAATTTAGGGGACAAGTGGAAATCACTGGGGGCTAGATCTGTAGGTCACAGTTCGAACCCACATTCTCAAAAAGCATCCATCACAACCCAGCTGCCGTGTACTGGTGCGTGGTGTTGTTAGACAATCTAAAACAGGTACCAGTATTTGGGTATTCTCCATTGTTTTGTATAGAGTCGCTTAATGTGGTAGAGAATGCTCGTCGTTATCTACTTATTACAAGTGTTTTAGGCTCAAAGCATTTGATAACGTCCACATTTCCAAAAATTCATTGTGCACTTTTGAAATTCGGCAAAATTCACCGATATTACTACAATTTACTGAAGGTTTTGAAATAGTGCTGGTTTTGTTTCTTTTCATTTAATCGCGCACACCACTTTTCACAAATAAAACAGGCTTTTATAGGAATTGTGTGTAACATCATTGTCAATTTTTTAAACGTGTTCAATATCTTTGATTATGTGGTTTTTCGAAGAGTTGCCTTCATTGCAACACCGATACGGACACAGTTCACTGACTTAATTGAACATTGCCCTTTTGGTCAGATTTTCAGCTTTCTTATCTTGAAATGCCTATAGTATGCAGATGTGTCTTTGATCTTTACCTTTGTGTGATCTATTAAGTGTTTGACCTTTTTAGAAATAGTAAAAAAGTTTAATCTCTTGAAAACAAACTTGGTATTTAGCTGTTGGCGAGTCTGGTAACTTCCATCGCTCGGCCTGCACTTTTGTTTCACGTTGCAAATGATGGGAGTGGTCATTGTAGCATATGTGATCAGAAACTTCTTGGGTTTATAATACAAAACTATGCATTTCTGATTTGCTTCACCCGCCTTACATAAACCGCTATTCCAAATTCGATGATGATGATGTTCAGTCTTCGAACAGAGATGCTGATAACCCAGTTAACACAGGGGGTCCAGGCAACGTTGCATACGTAGGTTATTTGGTTACTATGTAGACTCCCAGTAACGTTCGACTTATTGACTGCTTTAATACGTTGTAGCAATATTACGACAACGTTCTTACAACGTTGTGGGCACGTCCTTTTGTTGGCTGGTAACACTTGCAGTCCGTCCTTTCAGACCTTTGTCATGCATTAGATTAATGGTTTCTATTGAGTTCCACCGAAAACGTCCCCACGCATCGAATGCGAATGGTGCTTTTAATGTTATAGTTTTTTAACTAATCTTATTGACACTAACTTCTCACAATATTGTTGATTTGTCTGTGAAGTGGGATTTCATATTTTGAAATATTACGGGGTTGAAGTTTGTATGTAAATATACTGAGTCAAATTAAAAACTTCATATTTTTAAAAATAATCCCATATATGATATACAACGGACAAATGTATCAGCGAAGGTAATTTTTAATCATTAATGTCCAAGGAAGGATTTTAATTAACGGTGGTAACCATAATTTATTCCAAGCACCTACGGTATTCGGTAATAACATCAACAGTTTAAATCATAAGTCCCAAGCACGAGAATCTGATGGCACACAAGTTCAGTAGCTTGTATGGCCACCATGTGCGTTGACAACTGCCACACAACGCCTCCGCATGGACCTTGTGATGCTTGTGAACACATGACTGGGAAGACGACGCCATTGTTGTTGCAAAATGGTGCCAAGATTTTGCAAATTCTGTGGTTGGTTCTGGAGAGTGCGCAGACTTCTCCCAAGAGCATCCCAGACGTGTTCGATGGGATTGAGGTCGGGAGACCTTGACGGCCAGTACCTTGTCACAATTGCTGTGTGGGGTCACACATCCATCGTCCTTGAGACTTCAGCTACGGACGTTCCCGTCTGCAACATGCCGATTGCACGTTCACGTTGCACATTTGAAAGGCGTGGCATGACAAATGGCCGTAAAGACTTTCGTTTTCTTGGTTTTGTTTGTTTGTTTTTAATGACTGCTAACACGTATGGCTGAAAACACGTGCGGTATAAAGGCCACGTGACCAGTTGCACGTGAAAAAACACTTTTGCCACTATTGTGCTGTGCACATGATTTTGACCGATTTATCTGAAGACAATACGTGGTCATTACTGTTTAAATACACAATAAGGGCCACTCTCTCTCTCTCTCTCTCTCTCTCTATCTCTCTCTCTCTCTCTCTCTCTCTCTCTCTCTCTCTCTCTCTCTACACACACACACACACACACACACACACACACACACACACACACACATACATACATACATACATACATACATAGATACATACATATAATACTACATGTACCCTGCACCCACATACTTGCTCTAACATACGTGCACCCACCGGGTCACTGGTGCCCCATTGTAACCACCGTGGCGTTATGGTTGAAATACTAACCAAAGCCACGTAAAACCCAATCAAACAAACTCAACAGACGTGCAAGTGTACGCACAGGGAGTCACTGGGCGCTCAAAACAGCTGTACATGCACACACATTTCTGAAGTGAGTGAATGAGTGAGTTAATGCTTTACGTCACATCGGCAATATTTAAGCCATATCGTGACGATCATTTCTAAAGCCAGGAACCATGACAATTTGTATATGTATACGTTAACACATGCCTATAAATACGTGTCACCTCCAACCCTCATCCCGAACACACTGATAAATATTTGCACCAATTTAGGCATGTTGCCAATGTCTTCTGGAAAGCAGTCATAATTCAACGGAGTCACTTTTCAACGCGAGGCCCGGGTCACTATTTAACGACTTTTCAACTGTCGAAAATTGACCCTGGTCTGTTGAAAACTGAGACCGGGTATGTTTTCAACGTTGAATACTGACTCCCGGGTCACTCTTCAACGCGGGTCCATTTTCAATGTCACACCGGCTTCTATTTGTTCAGGCAGATCGTATGACTGGCGTCAGTTTGGGCGGAACGTGTAATAGAGGGAATACGGTTATCATATCAATTCCACGGGAAGAAACTTGATCTGGAATAACGAGAGCTACTTGTGATCCCTTAGAAACAACGTGCAACTTGTTGTACCCGTTTCCTGACTGTTTAACATATCATCCATGGGTTTGACTGTATTTAGGGGACGTATAGGAAACCTTCCAGGTACTTGTGATGTGTTGTTTGCTTGTGTGTTAACGCCGCACACGCTAGACTAACATGATTGTTTTAGTCCTCTGAAAAAAGTTCAAACAATATTATCGATAAAGGAACGCGCAAGCCTGTTAATGTCGGAGTTGATAAAGGGTGTTGTGAGTACAGGCTGCTAGAGTTGAAAAAGGGGGTGAGTATAGGCTGCTAGAGCTGAAAAAGGGGGTGAGTATAGGCTGCTAGAACTGAAAAGGGGTGTGGTGAGTTTCGGCTGTAGAGCTGAAAAGGGGGTGAGTATAGGCTGCTAGAATTGAAAAAGGGTGTGGTGAGTATAGGCTGCTAGAGCTGAAAAAGGGGGTGAGTATAGGCTGCTAGAACTGAAAAGGGGTGTGGTGAGTATAGGCTGTAGAGCTGAAAAGGGGGTGAGTATAGGCTGCTAGAATTGAAAAAGGGTGTGGTGAATATAGGCTGCTAGAGCTGAAAAAGGGGGTGAGTATAGGCTGCTAGAACTGAAAAGGGGTGTGGTGAGTATAGGCTGTAGAGCTGAAAAGGGTGTGGTGAGTATAGGCTGCTAGAACTGAAAAAGGGGGTGAGTATAGGCTGCTAGAGTTGAAAAAGGGTGTGGTGAATATAGACTGCTAGAGCTGAAAAATGGGGTGAGTATAGGCTGCTAGAGCTGAAAAATGGGGTGAGTATAGGCTGCTTGAGCTGAAAAAGGGTGTGGTGAGTATAGGCTGCAAGAACTGAAAAATGGGGTAAGTATAGGCTGCTAGAGCTGAAGAAAGGGGTGAGTATAGGCTGCCGGACCTAAGAATGGGGTGAGTAAATGCTGCTAGAGCTAAAAGGGTTATCATCTAGACAGCTCAGAC